ATTCTGCTTATAGTAGTCATAGAGAGAGGAGGCACACATGTAGCCGTAGTTTTCCACTAGATTGCTAGCTTTATACTTTTGCAGTCTAACGGTCCTACCGTTTGGCAGCTTGTGTATCAACACCTTTCTATCCCAATCAAACTGAGGCTGAGCAACCTCGAGGTAGTACATGCCTAGTAGCATATCGAAGGGCAGTTCGTCGCTAACGAGGAATGAGATTTTGTGCCTCACTTCCCCTCCTCCATAAGAGAAGGAACAGACTACGTCCTTGACATAGTCTTTTACTATCTTCTGGTGCTTGTTGGCTAGCGTAGAAGCTACAATTTTGCTAAGCCGCTGCACTTGGTCCCCTAAGCGTAGTCTATCCACACAAGCACGATTGATGAAGTTTTGTGTAGAGCCTATGTCTGCGAAGGCTCCTACTTTGTGGCCACCTACATCGACCTCTACCACAAAATGTTCACCCTTAGGACCTCTACTGATCATCGCCCATGAGTCTCTGGGGTCCTTCCTTGACCACTTAGACTGTAACTCCTCTAGGGACTCAGACACATCTCTCGAACAAAGCGTCGGTGGGTCTAGATATGTCCGCGGGGTGATACGTGGGTCACTAGCCCTGGCCAACGCCTGAAGGGGGAAGGCAACGTTACCACTTCAGCGCGAGTAAGAGCGGCTAGAACTCCTATTGGCCCGAGGTGTTTCCCGGCGAGGTGCTCGCAAAAGCACCGCCAGGGTTGGAGAGGCTACCTTCATTAGGACTTTCTTACCTCGACACGTTATGGACGTGTGGCCATAGTTGCCACATTTCAAATACGTACCCCTAGCAACTCAGTCCCTCCACACCTCATACTCTAAAGCAAGTTTTACCCATGCGGGTGTTCCTTGGTCGCCCTGACACGTAGACCGTCCTACCTTCTTCTTCCCGGTCCCCCTAGCCTTTTTTTTGATAAGCGCCACGACTCCCCCATCCGAAGTCTCACTGGCCCCATCATGCTCTGTCTCCTCCCCAAGGTCTGGGAAGTCGTCAATTTCAGTCGTCTGACCATCATGGTCGACGAACATTAGTTGACCCTTCTTCTTCCAGTCTTGGGGAAGTCTCTTCTTCCTACCATCTCCTTGGCCCTGATGCGCAGATCCCAACTTAGCCTCTATGTCTAAGGCCTTCCTGCAGAAAGTAGCGAAGCTATGTTGGTCTATGCAGGCCTCGTCCACCTGTTTTGTCCTAACCTCTGAGGGCAAACATCTCAAATAGTCTGTGAGGAGTACCTGAGGGTCAAAACGCACACCAGGTACTACGATCAGGCGTTCTACAGTGTCTGTGACCTCACGTACATTCTTGTACCTTTTGGCACAAAGATTGTTAATCTCGTCGGTGGCCTTCTGAGCCCCTTGAGGTTCATGCCACCTTTTGTACACAGTCTGTACAAAGTCTTCCAATGTCTGGGCCTGCGCCCAGGCATCGAAATTTTGACCATAGCCTTGTTGTTGCACTAACCCAACGTGTTGCTGATCCCTCTAAAAAGGAAGCAACAACTATAACCTCCTGCTCTGGCCTTGTGAGTTTGTGCCTCACATAAGTGGGCACAGTCCTCACCCAGGTGTCCAGGTCCTCGTCCTTCTTCCTGTCGCCAGAGAAGGGTTTAGGACTCAGCAAAGGAATCTTGGGCATCCACTGCATAGGTTGGATTTGCCCAGGTGATTGCTGTAGTGGCTGCATGGCCACTGACACCGGTTGCTGCGCGCTAACCTGGGCTTGCCCTGCCGATGGGACTGTAGTTACCACCGTCGTGGATGGTACAGTAGAAGCTCTAAGGACCGGACCACTAACTACTGGTTGTCTGTCTGAGAGAGCCATGCCATACATAGGCGAGAAGGTTTGCACTATCGGTGACGGCGTCACTGAGGGACCTGCAACCGAAGGGGGAACTATAGAGGACTGGGGCTGCCTCATGACTGGACGAGGCCCCTGAAGTGCAGCCAAAATTCGTTTTTGGCCTGCCACTAGTTCATCCAACAGTTCCTGCTAAACTACCTGCGTTTCTGCCACACAAAGTAGCGAGGTGCGCAACGACCGATCAACAGGATTTAACGTAGCATCATCTAGTTCTTCGAGTCCTCTTAGCTCCTGCAACCTAGTGCCTAATCTGACTTTTCTCAATCTAGCTCTTTCTCTTCTCTCTTCTACTTCTCTCAGTTGCCACTGCAACTCATCATGAAGAGCTTCTGCTTGGAGGATCTCATAATCCTCAGGTGTGAGTGGCATCTGCTGGCTGACTTGTGAGCCAACAGATTGACTAACAGAACTCTGAGAACACCTGACGAAGAGGCCTGAGACAAGGCCTGTGACACTGAAGAGGAGGTAGCCATCGCAACCTCAATCTGAACTCTAGCGTTCGTTAGTCTTGCTGCTGCAAGCGTCCGTTCAACGTTGGTTGCCGCTGACCTAGCCCTCTCCAATATCGTCCTTTCCCTGACTTCCCTTCGCAGCAGCCTAACTCCAAGAAGGTAATCGGTTGACTAAGTGCAGTTCTACGAGTCACTCTAAGATGTTTCGTTACTCGTTCCTCCTCCTCACTACCGCCTGCATCACTCATGAGCTACAATGTGTGTGATCTAAACTAGAGTCCACACTGAATCCTACCTCAGCACGACACACAACCGGGTATGAATAATCAACTAATTCCGATCAATGTAGAGAGAAGTAGTCAAGCGGTAACCAACAATCAATGTCACGTCCTACAAGTAAGTTCACTTCTATATTTAGATTACTTTTATACAGAATGCAATGCAGCAAGGAAAGGAAGTAACCTATCTGGAACTGCCTGTCAGTTGTTAAGAAGTCCGTAACAACTAAATAATCAAAAATAAAAATAATATACTTGTTGAGATGCATGCTGGATGGCAGTTTGTCTAATTAGTACCACCACAAACAGTTACCGGAATCCAATCCCTCCCCCTGTATCCCTCTTGAGTAGTCACTTTGTGTCAACGCCCTGAGCATCTAGTTGAGCAGCGTGTCTGAAGATGTGCAATCTGGCCCACCCCTGTGCCCCAAGTCAACGCTGAACCTGCCAGCCCCTGCACCTTATTTATCCTTGCATGCAACGAGCCTTACACCCGGTTTGATCTGGCTGATCAAGAGGCAGTTTTAGGACAGCCCCCATGGTCCTTACGAATTCTTTAACGTCCCAATCAGGACGACGATCACAGCCAGAATCAACACCGAGTCCCCGCCAGAAATAAAAGCGTCTGTTCAAAGGGCTGGCATGCCCTGCATGACCTCTATTGCGCAGCAGCAGAACCAAGGACTTGCGGCAAAGCATGCGTGTACTAGTCCCAGCGGGTTGGCATGGTGATCGTGACCCGARTGCTTCGTCCAGGGCCCTTCAGAGGCATCGCCCGTCTCCCGCCAGCTTGCTGCCCAGGAAGAATGTCGTCTCTCAAGGTTGAGCGCTCGCGACACCTCACATTGAGAGGACTCTCAAGACAGAACTCACTGCCTCACGGTAAGAAGTAATGAAGAGGGTAGATAATTCCGGAAGCAACGTACCTCATAATGCTGCCCCCAACCACAGATTTCTAACCGGCAACCTGATGTGCATTTACGATGACCAGTCTTTGCCTCGGCACAACCAGCAGGAGAATGCAGTTCCACCTCAGCTTAAATGCCACATCAGTGAGTTCTCATCATACAGCGTACACCCTTAATGTCACCACATAGCTTCCTGGCACGCCCACACGACCCTGGTGGCCCTGGGCCACCTACCGTTCAACGCCCAAGCCTTATCACTGCCCCACACTTCATGCGAAGCACCGACCCTGTTCCCCTGCGCCTCACTATACAACCAAGCCCTCAGCCAGCTATGGAGGCTGGGCTATGGCGCTGCCCTCAGCAGCGCCCTACTTCCTGCACGACCGCACGCGCTAGCACTT